AGCTTAAAGAAGCGAAGAGGGAAAAAGAGCTACTAATGTATCAGCATTATGTACCAAGTTTTTGCTTGTGCATTGCAGTGAAGGGTTCTATTCACTTTCATATCATGCTTCTGATGCAATTGCTAAATTGATTTGTTGGTTATAAATAGGGCGTTCTGAATTTTCTATTTAATGATATGGACCGTGAATTCTGGCTTTCTTTTTATCTATTGCTGAGAAAGATGAAATATTGGTTCTTATTAAATTGCATGTGATTGTTTTACTTTCTTTAAACAGGTTTACCTGTATGGGGGTCAAGTCACATCATGGAAGAATGAATATGGTGAAGAATTGCTTTTTCTTAGTAGTAAGGTATCACTTTAATGTGAATTTAGATTTCTTCAACATGATTGCTTTAGTAGTATATTGTTACACCTTTTTTTGTTTTTTCTTAATTTTAAAAGGATTTTGTAAATTCCGCTTCATGCAGGAGACTTTTAGGCCTCCAAAGCCTATCCGTGGAGGTATACCAATTTGTTTTCCTCAAGTATGTGCTTCACTACTTTTATCTATGTATTTTTGCCCCCTTTTTTTGTATTTCTTTTATTTTCATGTTAATTATTTTGCATGTGCAGTTCAGAAATCTCGGCACTCTTGAACAACATGGATTTGCAAGGAACCAGTTTTGGAGTGTCGATCCTGATCCCCCACCATTTCCAACAAGTACTTCTAGCAGGGCTTTTGTTGACTTAATCCTCAGGCACTCTGAAGATGATGTGAAGATCTGGCCTCACAGGTGCATGACCTAAATATGAAAATGTTTAATTAATAGATTTGAATAACTTGATTGGATTTTAAAGTGTTGTTTTGATGTCATTATTTGAGTTCCATGCTAAAATTTATAAATGCATTATCTAGCTAGGTATAGTTTGATTTTACTTTTTGCATTTACTTTTATCTCATTATGAGGATTACATCTAAAATTAAGTTGCTTACTTGCACATTCTTTACTGAAATTAAGTTGCTTACTTGCACATTCTTTACTTTGATTGATATTACCTTTTTCAAAATTAATTGCAGGTATGAGTTTCGCTTAAGGGTAGCTTTGGGACCAGGAGGGGATTTGATGTTGACATCTCGCATACGAAATACAAACACTGATGGAAAGCCGTTTACATTTACATTTACCTATCACACCTATTTTGCGGTTTCTGATATCAGGTTCCCCTATCTATCTTATAACTCTTTAGTCAGGAAAATATGTTTGGAATCTATGCATCCTGATATGCCTTGAGTAGTGTACATCATTTTTTAAACTAGAGGAAGAGAGTTGTGGCCTTGAGTGGTGTCATGTTAACAGTTTGAAGAAACAGCAACTCTGGTTGAGATGTGCTCCATATGTATTATGGTGGATGAAATATTCTTCTAGAAATGACATTGGATCCATGGTACTTTTGTCTTTCCATTAATGTTTTGGTGTCAGTGATCTATCTATGAACCTATGTTGGTTTTTGACAGGAGTCTGAAATTATGGATTAAGTAATTTGCCTAATTAATGTTGCTTTTAGAATTTTTGTCATGGGTGCTATGGTATCTTACATGTTGTGTTAAAGCTGAAGCATCTTCTCTGTTTTTTTTCATAGATGTTGCCTGCGACAAATGATAATAAATATAATGCAAAACTAAATGTCTACTAATTATAAGTTGTTGAAGCAGGAGCCTGCCTATGGAGAAAAGAACATATTTATATAATTGCGTCGATGTCTAAATTTTAATTTTTAAGAATTTTTTTTTTTCTTTCTTTCTTCTGATGGATTGTGGCTTAGATGCTTATTTTCTATTCTTTGCCCATCTTTCTTGCTCATCTAATTTTAGTGAAGTGAGAGTGGAAGGGCTAGAGACTCTGGACTATTTGG